ATAGAGATGCTGTCTCAAAAAAAAAAAAAAAAAAAAAAAAAGAAAGAGGAAGGAAGGAATAAAAAGTATGCACTGCTCAACTACTTAACCAAAAGACCTGGGTTTGATTCCAACACCAGTATGACAGACCACAACTGGGGATCCAACACTCTCTTCTGGCCTTTGCATGCACCAGGCACACACATGGTATACATGCAAACACACATGCAAAACACGTATAACACATAAAATAAAATATTCTAAAACTTATATGAAATAAGCCGGGGTTGGTGAGATGGCTTGGTGGGTAAAGATGCTTGCCACCAAGCCTAATGGGCCTGAGTTCAATCCCGGAGTCCGTATCAGAGGATTAACTTCTGCAAGTTGTCCACTAACCTATTTACTTTCACACACTCCATAGCATGTACCCTGTCCCCCATACAAAATAAAAGTAAGTGTTATAATAAAAAATTAAGATGGGGACTAACAACCTGCTAACATTCCTCAGGGTATTTGGTAAGTACGCACACTAAGATTGACATAAACGCAAAACTCAGGGTAGCTAATTTTCCTTTTTTAATAATTTATTTATTTTTATTTCATGTGCATTGGTGTTTTATCCCAGCACTCGGGAGGCAGAGACAGGCGGATCTCTGTGAGTTCAAGACCAGCCTGGACTACCAAGCGAGTTCCAGGACAGCCTCCAAAGCCACAGAGAAACCCTGTCTCGAAAAACCAAAAAACAAAAACGTATATGAAATAAAAGTTATCTGAGAATGGCAGGCTAGCTCAATAGGTAAAGACATTTTCCACTAACCTTGATGACCTAAGTCTGAACCCTGGAGCACATTGGTTGGAAACAGAAAACCAACTTTGGACCAGTTGTCCTCTGATTTCCTCATGTGCTGATTTCCGCTCGCGCACACACACCCACCCACACACACACACACACACACACACACAATGTAAAATGATGAAAAAACAAGATATCTGAAAGGCAGAGGGAAGTTGGTCTGCAGTAAATTTAAAAAAGTAAACCTAGGAAATTTTGTCTTTAATAAAATAGTTGGCTGCTGGGTATAGTACGCGCTGCAATCTATTTTGGAGGCTGAGGAAGGAAGATTCTCAAGTTTAAGGCCAACCTAGGCTACATAAGGAATTCCTGACTAGCCTGTGTTCTATAGGAAGACCCCACCACAAACAAATAACAAATAGACAAAATGGTGTGTTTGTGCCAGATGATTAAAAAAAAAAAAAGAAAGGCCAATCTGCGGCTATGTGGCACACTTTTCGAAGGTTTGAGACTGGGTTCCCGTGGTGGGAAGAGAACCTCTTTCATCTCCGTGACACACATAGAGTTCAATGAGTGTTGTATGTTTCCAAATAAACTGGGTGGCCACTCGTGATGAGATTGTAGCTGAAAATACTTACACTATAGACTGCAGCATTACCGAAAAGACAGCAAGGGGCCTAAAGTCCCCATAGACACCTCACAAGTGAGAGGAACTGCAGCCCAATGCACCCGTGCAACTGGATCAGAGCCCCCAGAAACCTTTCCTTTTATACTGATAACAGTGTACCAAGAGGGCTGGAAAGGTAGTTCAGCAGTTAAAAGCACTGGTTCCTTTTCCAGAGGACATGGGTTCAATTCCCAGTGTCCACAAGGCAGCTCACAACCATTTCTAACTCCAGTTCTAGGAGATCCAGTACCCTTTCCTAGCCTCCAGACACAGGCACACATGTCATGCACAGATGCACATAAAAACAAACACCTGCACTCACACATTTATTTTTAAAAATGTACTGAAGCTAGACATTTAGTTCAATTGGTAGTGTGTTTACAGCATGCTCAAGCCTTAAGTGCAGTCTTGAGCACCAGTATGGGTGAGATGCACCTCTAATTCCAGCACTAAGGAGAAGAGATCAGTCCAGAGAGCTACGGAGAGAGCAGGAGGGGATCCAGCGCCCTCTTCTGGCCTCCATGGGCGCATGTTTGTTTTTAGCTATTTAATATCTGAGTGTTTTGCCTCCATTTATGTCTGTGCTCCGTGTGCATGCAGAGCCCTCAGAGGCCAGAGAGGGCGTCTGATCCCCTGGAATTCAGGTTACAGATGGTTGTGAGCCACGTAGAGGAGCTGCTGGTGCTCTTAACAACTGAGCCATCTCTCTGGTCCTTCAAGAAATGTTTTTAAGTAAAACAAAAACAAAAACAAAGCCCACTGACTGAGCCATGCCTCGCCAGCCCGCAGTTCAGTAATCAAGGCCCTGTTAGCTTTGCTCTCTTGGCTGGTAGTCTTAAGTCACTACTTGTAATGAACCTACCACCAATCTCCAATCTCTAATGAATCTACCTAGCATCTCCCTATTGTTAGAGTAGAAATAAATAAATAAATAAACTGATGAAGAGACTACAGTCTCTGGCCTGAATGGAGGAGACCTAACATTCAGTTGGGCAGGGTCATTCACTTGGCCAAGAAACCACCCTTAGGAACGAAGGCTTCCTTAAGCCTCGATGCAGAGGTAAGTGGAATAATTAAACCTTTGAGACGTGAGCTTTCCTCCCCCAGTCCCTGCCGTGCGCCAGCTTACGAGGCTCCCAGCACATGGTTGTGCCTGCCTGCTTCCCTACGGGAACTTAACTTTTCTCCTTTCTTTCTCTTTCCTTAACACTTTGGGCTCCCCTCCCCCAACACTGTGGACTTCCTTACTCTCCCAAAGCCTCCTCCCCGCCTTACATCTGACCTCTACACAGGCTGAGACCCAGCGACTTTTCGCTTCCTCTCCTCCGCTTCCGGACTGCAGCTGAGGGTTTAAGGCTTTCCTGCCTTCGGGGTTTTCTTTTAAATGCTAAAATTGTCTTTGTGTTTCCATTGGAGTCTATTCCTAAATTATTTTATTAATGAGACCAAGAAGCCCCCCCCAAAGGGGACCCTAATTTCCCAGTGTCACTCTTGTTCGTAATTGTGTTCCTGGGGAAACTAAGACTCACTTTTTAGGTTCACAGTCTCATCACTCATTTGTAAAAGAATTTAGAAACAGACTAGAAAGGAAGTTGGGGACAATTTTATGAGAGTTGAAAAAAAAAGCAACAGGGTGGAGATGCTGTGAATCTTGGCAGCTGCTGGTGGATGGGAAATGGAGAAGAGGAAGAGAGAAAGCCTCCGGTTTGTGATAGCAGTCAGCAAGCAGCCCCAGGGCAAAGGCAGAGGGATCTGAGACAAAGTAACAGAGCCGGCAGCACCAGGGAAAGCACGCTTGGCCTTTGGCCCGCTTCTGAAAGAAAGATAGATTTAAAAAAGGGGGGCTGCACCAGAGAAGAGGCCTAGGGAAGGGAAAAGCACATTGTCTCATTAGGGGGTCATTTATCCCTTCCAGCTCCTTTTTGGTTCCTTGAAATGCCAGGCTAGAGATAGAACAACCTTCACCTTTTTATATGGTAATTTAAATTCCAAGGAAAAGCAAAGCGTTCTGTCACCAGGGAAACCAGAGGTGGAGCTCAAGCTTCAGTTGCCTAAGGCTACTTAGAACCTAGCTCCGGGCTGTCTGATATGGTAGTTTCCAAAATTCAGTTCTGTGAATTCTGGTCCTTGAAATTCTTTGTTGTGGAAGCCATCGTGTGCTATTAGAAATCACCAGGCAAAGCAGGGTGGTGGTGTAGCAAGCCTTTAATCCCAGCAGCTGGGAGGCAGAGGCAGGAGGATCTCTGTGAGTTCAAGGCCAGCCTGATCTATGAAGTGAGTTCCAGGACAGCCAGAGTTACACAGAGAAACCCTGTCTCAAGAAACTAACAATAGTAGTAATAATAACAACAACAATAATAGTTCAAATGAAATCACCAGGCAGTCCAGACATCATCCTTGATGGAGGACACTGTTCCAGATGGAGGAACTGGTGACTTCTGTCACCCCTTTCCTTCTTTGTTCTAAAAGAACAAGACAAAATTAACACTCCTCCCTTCCCCTTCCTCCCTCCACACATTGTACCCTAAGCTTGAATGATTAGAAATGCAGCCTCATTGATGAGGCCTTCACAAGTAACCACCATTCGTAGGCTAACCTTTATGTCAAGCCAGTACAACACTCTCGGCTCACTCAGTTAAAGTATTCTGTGGTCCCAGAGTCGGGCAACAGAAAACGGATGGGGACCTCATCCTTGCCTGACCTAACTTCTATACACAGGTGAGGCCTCAGCACTGGGCACTCATGGAGCTTGAAAACACTGAATCACCACGTCAGATTTCCAGGAATTAAGGGGGGGGGCAGAGGATGGAATTGGGACTTCCTCGTAGAGATTGTCTGCTCCAAATGCCAGCTGTAGGGAGCTGGGGAGCTGTCTGTCCTGAAACTTGAATTTTTTTCCTGCATATTACTCAAAAGGAAGGCAGATAGGCCAGGTGGTCTTCAGTGGTGTCCATGGCCTGATGGGGCTGCAGTAAATGGGCCCAGGAAGCAATGGTACAAACCAGAAGGCAAGGAAAACAGATAACAAACACAGGCACCAAGATGACAGTAAACAGTTGTCTTTAATCTTGGGAGGAGGTGTTAGACAGGACCCTGAAGAATGACAACAACCTAGAAATTATAGTTTGCAAAATAGCCTAGAACACAACACAACCGATGAACCTGCTGTGTGGCAATCATTCTAATCTTCCCTCCTCGGACTCCCCCACCACCAGTACAGGGTCCTTTTCTGGGGCACTGAGCCAGTGTCCTCCAGACACCAGCTTCACCAGATGTTCTATAAGGGATGCTGTCCATACACAGAGCTTTAGTGCCAACGTGGACCCGATAGGACATGGTTCACAAACCCCACATTCTCCACACAGAAAATGATTCACCAGCACTCAACACGGGAGGGGCTCTGTGATTCCAAAAGGGAATCTTTGGCGCTTGTGCCCTCCCGTGCCTACATCTCCCTAAACTGGAGAGTTTCACCTTCCATACACTTCGGGGGAAGTGTGCTGAGAAGAAAGCTTTTGCAGATGCAAGTGAAGTATTTTTAGCGATCCTTGTAGCACCCACCTCCACAGCTTCGGGAACCGGGGAGACGCTGTTGGTCTTCCTAGAACCCACGCGGAACTTCGCAGCCTTGTAAATCTTCCAGTACACGAAGAGCACCACGCACAACGGCAGGTAGAAGGCGCCCACCGTAGAGAACACGGTGTAGGAAGGCTCGCGACTGACCTGGCACTCCTCGCTGAGTTCAGAGTACGTCTCTCCCCAGCCGAAGAGCAGCGGGGCCAGAGAGATGACAGCAGAGAGTGCCCAGGTGAGCGCGATCATCACGTTGGAGACGCGCTTGCGGGCACGGAGTGTGTACTCCAGGTGGCGTGTGATAGACCAGTAACGATCCAGAGCTATGGCTGTCACATTCCAGATGCTGGCTGTGCAGCAGAGCACGTCACACGCGATCCACAGCTGGCACAGGCGCCGGCCCAGCTGCCAGCGGCGTCCGGACAGCTCGTGCACCAGACTCAGCGGCATGACCAGCGCAGCCACCAGTACATCCGAGATGGCCATAGATGCCACCAGGTTGTGTGGCACGCGGTGGAAGGTGCGTACCCTGAGGATGGTGGCCAGCACCAGCAGGTTCCAAGCGAACGTGGCCACAGCTAGAAAGCCCAGCAAGGTCAGGACCAGCACTCGAAAAATTGAGAGAAAGGGCCGACTAGGGCGCAGGTCTTCCGTGCCCAGGCTGCGGTTGGGTTCCAAAGAGGAGGGAGTGGAGAGGGAAAAGGAGGTCAAGTTTACAGTCAGATCCATCGCCAGCCCAGGACACCTGCGTTCAGATTCAGTAGCCACCGAGCCCACCGGAGTCAATCTAGAAATGTTTGCGACCACTAGCTAGTGGAGAGGATTCTGCCAAGAGTAGGAACCTGGCCCCAATCTCCAATCAGTGAGAGTCTGGAGGAGACGGAGGCAGAGAGGAGGGCGCTAGACCGCAAGCCGCACAGTCTGGGTACCCTTAGAGATTTGGAAAGCGGACTCAAGGGGCAGAGTCTAGAAGCCAGGGCCCGCTATCACATGCCTGCTTTTCCTCACCTCGGCGGAGACTGCTGTCTGGTCGCCCGCAGCAGAGCATCCTTGGGATCGGCTCCATGCTAGGTGGATACATGGAACCGGGCTGGTGCGTCAGAACAGTCGCTGGTCCAGGGCTGCTCCCTGCCCGCCCCCAACCCCGTTCTCCAGGCAGTGGTTCCCTGGGGAACAGCCGGATGCTGGGCAAGCCACGCAGGTACCTGCTTTCTAGAGATGGTCTTCTGCCCTGACCTAGCCAATCTCTACCATGCCTGGGGCTGCTACGCCGAAAACGCACGCTGGTGCGCCCACCCGGACCTGCCTTAGCAAAGTGGGAATCTGGCGCTACGTAAGGTATCAGCTGATGAAGCCTCTCCCCGCCCCTGGCTCCCTGAGCGGACGTGCTTGGCGCTGTCCACGGTGCTACCGCCTACCCCAGCACGCAGCTTGGTGGCTGTCCAAGGTCCAGTCGCTCTTCATTTTGTCGGTGGCCGGGATCCAGTTAACTAGTAAACTTTCCTAAAGCCTTCCTCCAATACCCACGCCCCCTCTGGAGGTGATCTTGAGACCCCGAGCTGCATCTTGGTTTCCAGAGAGTGTAGTGCACAAGTGTCCCGAGTGAGGCATGTAGCTAACAGTCTGGCCTTACTGTTTTCCCCTCCAGATTTCAAGTACATGATCGTCTCCTAGCTTGGTGAGCTCAGTGTCCTCACTTAAAGAGATAGATGAGAATTTGTCCTGTTATCAGACAAGGCTGAGGTGTGCAGTTAGGGTGCCTGTTTCCTGACACCCAGAAAGAGGCTTGCAAGAGTCTCTCCAGCGGCTCTACTGCAGAAATAGTTCAGCCATTAAGAGCATTGGCTACCCTTGCAGAGAGCCCCCTTTGGTTCCCAGGATTCATGTAGTAGCTCACAACTGGGTGCAACTCCATTTTCAGGGGATATGATACCCCCTTCTGGCCTCCACAGGTACTGGGTACACATAGGATGCATATATGTATGTATGTATGTATGTATGTATGTATGTATATATATATATAAGCAAGCAAACACTCATACACATAAAATAAGAAAAATCCTTAAGGAAAAAAGCCCCATGGCACTTGAAAAACAGGGTCATTGAGCCAAAGGTGATGGTATAACCTTTAATCCCAGCACTCAGTCTCAATGTAGGTGGATGCTTGTGAGCTCAAGGCATCCAGGACTACCTAGTGAGACACTGTGATGGGGGATGTCCTTCTGTGTGCTATGAATATGTTTCTCTCATTGGTTGATGAATAAAGCTGTTTTGGCCAATGGACAGGTGGGATGTAGCCAGGCAGAAAGTATAGGCAGGGCTACCAGACTAGGAGAATTCTGGGAGAGGAAGACAGAGAGTGAGTTGCCAGCGAGACACCATGTAGCTGCCAAGGAAGAAAGAGGTTTGGGCATCACCTGTAAGCCAAGACCATGTGGAGATACACAGATTAATAGAAATGTGTCATTAATTAAGAGACAGCCAGCCAAGAAGAAGCCTGAGCCATTGACCAAATAGTTTATACTTAATAGAAGCCTCAGTGTGTTTATTTGGAACTAAATGGCTGCAGGTCTGGCTGGGACAGAAACTTCAGCCTATAACACTGTCTCAAAACAAACAACAAATCAGAAAAATTTCAAAGGGGGTACATTAGTTGTTCATAAGTGTGCTCAAACACACATATGGAGACTAAGAAAATCCAAAGATCTGATCTGGAAGTTTTGTTTTGTTACATTTTCAGTGTAAGGGATGAAATCCTGGGCCTTGTGCAGACTAGGCAAAGTACACTGGTTACAGCCCCAGCCCTCAAAGAGAAAAGCAACTCCAGAAAGCTGTTCCTCTACCCTACATACACACCATGGCTTATGACACCCAGGTTCACATTACACACAGGGGCACATGTGCATGCATAATATTAATAAATAAATAAGCTGGCATAGTGTGCACGTTTGTCATCCCAGCACTGGAGGCTGAAGATGGACAGATCTATGAGAAGTACTGACCAGCCTAACCTATTTGGAGAGTTCCAGGTCATAAAATGAAGTGGAAAGTGCCTGAAAAATGGCTGCACAGTTTGTCTTCTGACCTATACATAAATACACACAAACACACACATACACACACAGAGTTGTGTTCCTGTATACACATCGCACACACAAATGGCCATTGACCCTTAGTAGGTCCAGCCCCTCTCAGTGGATTTGCTTGGGTCAAAGTCTTTCTGCAGCAATATTAAGGTAATATTTGCTCTTTTGCAATGTTAATGCTCATGTTTGTGGATGGATTTTCTGTCCTGCCTGGTCCTGCAGCCTCTTGGTCCCAAATAAACACACAGAGGCTTATATTAATCATGAACTGGCTGATAGCTCAGGCTTCTTATTGACAAGCTCTCTCTTAATTATTAACCCATTTCTATTAAACTATGTATTGCCATGAGGCTGTGGCTTACCCATAATGCGCTGGGATGTTACTCCTTCAGTAACTACATGGTGTCTCCCCTGTGACCCACTCTCTCTTCCTGTTCTGAGCCATTGGCCAAACAGCTTATAATTAACATAGGTTTCTGCGTGCTTATTTGGGGTTAAATGGCTGTGGGAGCAGGTGGAGCGGAAACTCCGTCTACATATGTTAGTGGTGCACATGTGGGCCATGTGTGCGGTCTTTCTGATAATGAAGGGAGATGCTTATGCTGAGGAATTTATTTATACCATCAAAATTATGTATATGTTCACTAGAACTGGAAGGTTTTTATTTTTAATTTTTTTCACTTTTTTGGTTTTTCGAGACAGGGTTTCTCTGTATTGTTTTGGAGGCTATCCTGGAACTCACTCTATAAACCAGACTGGCCTTGAACTCACAGAGATCCACCTTCCTCTGTCTCCCAAGTGCTGGGATTAAAGTCGTGCGCCACCAACGCCCAGCAGAAGGTTTTTATTTTTAGTCTTTTTTTTTTTTTCTAGAAAAGGTTTCTCTGTGTAGCCTTGGCTGTCTTGGAACTTGCTCTGTAGACCAGGCTGGTCTCAAACTAACAGAGATCTGCCTGCCTCTGCCTTCCAAAAGCTGGAATTAAAAGTGTGCACCACCATCACCCAGCATGAACTGGAAGTATTTTTAATGAGTAATAATTTTTCCTTGAAAGACTTATGGACAGATAAACTACCATTCTTCATGCTTGCATATATAGCAGATATTTTCTTTCAAATAAGTGAGCAAGCCTTTAAGAAAAATATCAGCTGATACTTCTCATCTGTAACAAAATTCTGGAACACTCAAATCCACCATTGGAAATCTGCCAGTTTATAAGGTTAATGAATGCAATTCTTTCTTTAAAGATTTATTTGTTTATTTTAAATGTGTGCAGGAGAGTAGAGGCATCGGATCTCCTGGAGCTGGAGTTACAGGTGGTTGTGAGATGCCTGAAGTGGGTAGGTGCTGGGAATGAAACTCAGGTCCTCTGGAAGAGCAGGACACGCTTTTAACCATTTAACCATCCTTCTAGACACATGATACTGCATTATAAATGTGTCACCATCTGGAAAGTCTGAACAACTAAATAACCCCTATGACCAGGGCGTGACATGACAACATCCTTATAACTCAAATTAATAAGAGACCCAGAGACAGGTATTGAGGTTCAAACTGAAGATCAGAGAAGCAAAGCAGCCAGCCACTAGCTCTCCCCTCTGGCTCAGGCTGAAAGGGACTGATCCATGCATGAACTCTTCAAGTCTCAAACTGCAGGCTCTCCTCAGAGTGGCTGGAGAACGAATGCCTCTACTGAATACTTGCTCCTGTTTTGTATGCCCTTCTAGTGCTGGGATTAAAGGTGGGAGCTACAATTCTCTTTTAGACTGATTCAGTCTTGTGTAGATCTGGGTGGCCTTGGACTCACAGAGATCCATCTACCTCTTAATCCTGTGTCCTAGGGTTAAACATGTGTACCATCACCTCTTAGCTTCTGGCTGCTGGGATTAAGGGTGTTTGCCTGGCTTCTGTGGCTTGTGGCTGACTTTGCTTTATGAATCTTCAGGCAAGCTTTAGTAAATCACAAATAATATATCACTACCCATCCTGAATGGAATTTGACCAAGTTCACAAGACGAAGTACACAATAGGTTGTTTTTTTTTTTTTATCATTTGTTTGTGTGCTGCGGCACAGACGTCAAGGTCACCTTGACATCTTTGGGAATCTGTTTTCTCCTTTCACCTTCTGGCTCGGGCGTCAGACTCAGACCATTAGGCTTTGCAGCTAGCACTGTTCCCCACTGAGCTGTCTCACAGTCCTGATGACAGATTTTAATGTAACAGCATGTAAAGGTATACAATAAGATTTCATATCCCACTCTGGACAAACAGTTCAGAAATTAGTCTTTACTGAATTTTGATATAGCACCACAGGAAAAATAACTATAAATATCTGAAAAGAGCATTTAAATCCTCCTCCACTATTCAGTTGGAAGATATTTTTTACAAAGACATAACATTTATGTAAATGTGTAATGGGTTATTGTGTTTTTTAAAAAATTAATAGGTGTGGTGGATTGAAAGAAAATATCCCCCAAAGGGAGCGGCACTATTAAGAGAGGTGGCTTTGTTGGAGTAGGTGTAGCCTGGTTAGAGGAAGTGTGTCCCTGTGGTTGCAGGCTTTGAGGTCTCCTATGACCAAGCTACACCCAGTGACATAGTTCACTTTCTGTTGCCTGTGGATCTAGATGTAGAACTCTCAGCTCCTTCTCCAGCACCATGTCTGCCTGCACACTGCCATGTCCCCCCATGATGATAATGGACTGAACCTCTGAAACTGTAAGCCAGCCCCAATTAAGTATTTTCCTTTATAAGAGTTCTCATGGTCATGGGGTCTCTTCACAGCAATAGAAAGCCTAAGACAATAGGTAAGTATGTTCTGAATTTCCCTACTTAAATTTTATAGATCAAAACTGGGTATACTGGTGCATACCTGTAGTCCCAGCACTCTGGAGGCAGAGGCCGGGAGATCAGGAGTTCGTTGATAGATTGTCCACTGGGCTCATTGGGATTCCCCAGAGTTAAGTGCACAGCATAGTAGCCTTGGCTTATGCTTTGCAGGCAGTGGGAGGCAAGTCTAATCCAGTGAGTGTCCCTGGCAGAAGTGCTATGCTCCTCGTTGGGCAGAACACACACTCTGTAAGCTGCAGTAGGTTTGGGGTGTACTGAATGAGCTTCCGGATCCCTTCCTCTGCCCTTGTCTGGCCTCCTACAGGAGGCTAGGTGTGATGGTTAGTGTGAATTGCCAGACTGCCTACGAGGTGCGACTGCAGACACACTTGTAAGGGACTGTGTTTTAAGGTTAGGTGCTGAGAGTATCTGGGAAGCATTACCCTGATTGTACAATG